TCATTCTTCACATCTTAAATGTGAAAACAGGTACAGAGAGGTAGCTTCTCAAGATCACAGCTAGTAAATGGCAGAGCAGGGAGTTAGGAGGCATCTTCGTGGGCCTTCAGAATCCCTGTTCTTAATGATTGTACTCTAGTGACCCTCTGACAACTGGGAAGTGCTAGGTGTGGCTGAGCAGAGATCAGACTTCCAGGTGTGAACTTCAGCACTGCTCACGGTAGCCGTGGCCCAAGACCCTCCAATCATATGGAACGCTGCAAGTAATCTTGGTGGAAGGACATGACTTAGTGTCAGCTCATACCTCTCATTTTGATTCCAACTGCATGCATCGATTGAGCAGCTACGTGGGAGGCCAGGTACACAGTACAGTACCTTGCAGTAAGTTGAGCAAAACAGAGTTTCTGCCCTGGCAGAGATATGTAAAATTCAAATTATAACTTAACATCCATTGAAGACCAGCCTAAACCAACAAATGTTTGTCACCACAACACCTATGTACGTTCCACGCCATGATGGTGCTTCTTTTATTACTGCCATTTAGCTTTACATTTCCTCTGGTCAGTGTGAACCACCTTCCATAAGACTGATTAACCCACCTCCATGGAAGAACTCCAGATAAAGTACAGCATTAGTTACATTTAAACTTCAGTTAAAGGTGAGTACTTTTATGTTCCATATATTGCATGGGTCACACATTAAAAAATCCTTAAAAAAATTATTGTACTGGGGATACTGTGTGACATTTACAAAATTTCTTACAATTATCATAGTTGAATTCACCCCCTCCATCATTCTCCTTTATTCCCCTCTCTCCATTCCTGGAATAGTTTCAACAGGTTTCATTTTTCCATTTTCATACATGAGTACATAATATTTTACCAGGTTCACCATCCTTCTTTATCTGAAATTGAAATGTAATTGGGCGTGCTGCGTTTCATTCCCAGGTAAGAGTTCCCTGGTTATTGTCTTGCAGGCCATGATGCCTCTTGCAAATTTTAGCCGCGTGGCCACACTGTATATCTTGTGCTTAGGAGAGAAGAAACTGTAAGCATTCAGAGGAGGCTGCTTAGCAAAGGCGAGTCAGGTTGTCTTTAAAGCATGGGTAGGAACGTGGGTGCAGAAAGGAGCCATTTCTGGGGAGAAGCCTGAGTCAGGGGCCTCTGGGTGGGGCTGTGTGTTGGGCTGGGAGGAAGGGCTGCTGACTGAAGAGTGGACTAAAACTTCGGGGCTGGGAGGAAGGGCTGCTGACTGAAGAGTGGACTAAAACTTCTTCTCTTCTACATGTGAGGGTGCACTTTGTCCTCCTCAGCAGCACTGTCCAGGTTGCATTCCATTACACAGTGGTGATGGCCTGGTCTTCCTTTATCACCTGAGGAGCTAAGAGGTGCCAATGACAATGGGCAGCACCGCAGCCATCCCGATAATGGCAGGAAGCACCCAGCTACCCTTTGTGAGCACGAGGGTGTCTGTAACCAGGTGTTACACTGGAGCAGTGGGTCTCAAACTGGATCTCCCAGCACCAGCATCACCTGGAGGGCTTCACAAAGCCCAGGCGGCTGGTTCCACCTCGAGAATTTGTGCTGGGCAGAGTACAACGTTGTTAATTGAGTTCTCAGAGACGCTGCTGCTGTTGCTTCTGGGAACTGCACTGAGGCTAAAGCTGTGATGCATACAGACCACCCAGGGATCTGATTAAGAGGCAGAATCTATCTGACTCACCGGGCCTAACGGGCCTAGGAGAACATTTTTCTCACAAGCTCCCGTGAGATGCAGCAGGAGCACTTTGTGTTGCCAAGCTCCAAGGAAGTGCTTTCCAAGCCTGGCTGTATCTTAGAATCATGCAGGGAGCTTCTAAGACTCTCAGCATTTCGGGCCATGCTCCAGAGTATTTGCGAGAGACTCAGGATTTTTAATTCAAGTGATTCCAATGTGGAGTGAAAAGGGATATATATATATATATATATATATATATATATATAATTTACTTATTTTACTGCCAGTTCCTCCTGAGTGATACGCATACATTCCTATTCCTGTGAATGGAGCTATTGCTTTTTAAATCTTAGGCTTGGTCAGAGTTCTGAATTTTGTAGTTCAAAATAGGAGCTATTGGGCAGATCGTTTGGAAAGGAATCCTGCTGCAGACTTTCCCTGGACTCTAAAGTGGGGAAAATAATAGACCTGCATCACAGAATTATGCATAAAAAGAATCCATGCTATGTGTGTAGCACAGTGCCAGGCACACAAGTACTCAGTAAGTACTTTAAATATCATTTACTATCATTAGTACAGTCCAGCTACTTGCCTGATGCTGTACACACTCAGTACTCCCACCTGTGGATGCCTGGCCCACACCTAAGCTTGATGCTTTGTCTGTTGGAGACAGCCTTGACTACGGGAAATTCTCCCTTTAACTGAGCTGTTGTCTACTTACAGGTTCCATTCACCAGTCTTAGCTAAATCCCTTACATTGCAACAGACAGTCCTCATTCTCCTCTCAAATTTTAAGTATTTAAAACCAACCATCCCTTATTCTGTCATGGGTTAACCATTCCCAGTTCATGCATTTTCCATATTCCTCCCATTTCATCGTTCATACATGTTGATATCCTGGCTGGTGCTTTTGTACACTGGTTTGCAAATGTGCCAGCTCTCAGCAACTTACCCAGCTTAGTCTTATTGGTATCACTTTTCTTGCTTTAGGAACCAAATGACCTTAGGGTAGCTGAGATGATGCCAGTGTTTTTGGTGGCTCCACCATTCTCTTGACTTTCATTGAATTTGCTACAGACTGAAGTTGGGGACTTTATACATGCAACTCAAGGTCTTACCTTGACCTTGTGTAATTGTGTGGTTCTTTACACTGAACTGTAAGATACTACAACCTCTTCCACGTCATGTTGTTAGTTTGCCCCATTTCTCTGCGTGATGAGATTTTTTAAAAAAAATTCTGATTCTAACATTTAGTATAATCATTCTCTCCCAGCTTTGCGACATACCCATTTTTCGTAACTCGCCTTCTGTAGCTTCCATCAAGTTATTAATTAAAATGTTGAACAGATGGGGCCAAAGGCATGCTTTGCAGCAGGACACTAGACATGCTCCTCCAAGTTGGTGTGTAGCCTTTAATTAACGCTGTGCAAGTGGCTGCACGCCCACCAACCGTACGGATGTCCAGATCATACCACGCTACATCCCTTGTTAAGGCCCAGATATTTTGTGTACTGCAATTTCTTAATCTACTGGTTAGTCTTACAAAGTAGAAAACAGAGTCTGAAATGGTTTCTTCTTGGAAACCCATGCTGGCTTCTAATAATTGTTGCTTTCTTTCCTATTCCCTCTAGAAAATGCCCAGAATTAAGATCAAGCTCACTGGTCTACAGCATAGAAAATTCACTCTTCTTTTTCATACATCTTTAATATTTTCTATTGCTTACCATCATCAAGAAAGAAAATCAAAATGGAGTAGCACTGCATCAAGACTAAAATGGAACTTGAAGGCCATTGTTAAACAGATCCCAGACACATGTGCAGGTAAACCTTTGAAGTGGAATGCAGACCTGCTTATCCCCAGATGCAAGATGACCTTTGAGCCATTTTTAACTTCTCTGGACCTTCTACACAAAGACTGCCTTCTTCAGGCCTCCTAGAGACTAAGACCAACCCAATCTCTTGTAAGACACCTTAACTTTTTCCAGCACAAATTTATAATCCTCACAAGTAATGTAATTTCTAATCTCTCACACCTTAAAGCTGTAAATATAGCAGCCATTTTGTAAAACTCAGGAGCTTTTTCAAGACTGCTTGAATCCGTGTTTTCCCAGATTGCGATCCTTATCAGCTCTAAATAAATGTTATTTTCTTTGTTCTCAACCAGGTTGATTTTATCCTCAGTTGACAAAATTTTTCCAATAAAAGTTGACAGTGATTCAACAATCTCACTGGTGAATCTCCCAGTATTGTTGAATTAATCTAGAGATGAGACATTAGAGTTAATTACCTTATAATAGCTTCCTATGCTATCTTAATTAGTCCTGGGTTTTATTTTCCTCTTATGAGTGATCATTCTTAAAAATGATCTCTATAGTCCTTCTGGTTCTAATATTAGTTGTGTAACACAGACAAGATGACAAGATACACAATACTGCTCTAGAGGACAGGTAACTAGCCAATGAAAGATTTGAGTTTGAGTTTCACATTCCAAACACGAAGTTTAAATGGAAGCCACAGGGGGGTTTAGCTCTCTCTACTCCCCTCATTCCCCATAATGTTTTTATTTCTTTGAGATTTACACATCATAGCAGTTTTGGTCTCTGCTAGGCAACATTTTCATTTATATTTAAGAGGATGTAACAAGTGACCTCATTTCAAAAAGCCCAGATCCCCAAACATAAGTCATCCTTTCTAATGGTCAGAAGTGTGGGTGGGATTTTATTTTTCATTTTCCAAGTCAACAGATGTTAATTTTAACATTAGGTTTCATTGAGAACACAAAGGTACATGATAGCCACATGAATGCATATGATTTGGAGATCAGAGTTTGCATTTTAGGATAATAATTAACTGCATGGTCCTTTTGCTTTCATGAGAAGGAAATGAGAATGCAAACAATCTTGAAATTGTTTCAAACAATTCATTTGTTCCTCTCCTGCTCAAAGTCCCCAGTAAGGAACAGGCCTCTGTTGTCTCTAATATCTGCCAGCATCTTCACGGAAACACACAGAGGTAAATCAGTAGCAACAATTTGACCTCACCACCTCTTTCAAATCTTTCATCTTTGGGTTCATGGTTGTCTTAGGCTCATGAAAAGGGCGGAAGGGTATTATATGATTTATTTTAAAGGTACTATCCTAGTTGCTTAAAAAAGCAAATAAAAACATTTTCGCAAATGATTGAAATTTGAATTTATTTCTTTCTGAAGTTTGTACATTTACATATACATATACATATTTTAAATCCTTCACTATTTTGCATGATTTCTATTACATAAAAACCATTTTAAATGCAATTAATTTTGTTGTTGTAAAACAACAAAATATCCCCAACTTATAAAAACACAGGAACAGTTATCTTCATGAACATTTACACAATAGAGAAATGTACTATATATATATCACAGCTTCTATACATATCAGGTGACCCACTCGTCTACAAGGTTTAGGTTTACTTTAATAACAGTGAAATAGGGTAATATTTATATACAATTATTTTAATAAAAAATAAAGCAATTGTAAAATGTAAACTTAATTTTCAAAATATTCTTTAAACACTTCAACAATATCCACATAAATTACTGTTCCGTTCAAAAGACGACCACCATAAATGCCACAGTTTGAGATAGCATTTCTAGAATCTGGTGGGTGATAATAAGGAACAAGTTTCCAATACATGATATGGTACCACTAGCTTACCCAAGTCTGCCAATGCTGACAGTTTGGCCACTGAAAAGGAGTAGGCTGCTATTTTGTCACTAATTACTTTCACAATTTGCAGGGGACATATGGCACCAGGACTGCAATGAAACTGAAATGATTGGTAGAGAAAACTTTGAAGGTAAAGGAATGTTCCACACTGCCAATCAGTTTGAGCCACAGTGAATGTAATCCAGTTAATAGGTTGGAAAAGTTCATATCTTGTTTTATATTAAAAGATACAAGCTACCACCCTTCATTGAGCCCCACAGTAACCAAGGCTGACAACAGTGGTTCTCCACTTGTGCAAGTTTCTGTTCTAGAAATGGGTTCCTAAAACTTGAGGTAGAAGAGAAGGCAGGGAGGCATGGAGGCCTTTCTCCCACAGCTCTCATCTGGACAGAGCAGAATTGCTAAGCAACTTTAATATTCCTTGACCCTTTTCACAGAAATGCAGTATGAACCATTTCAGAAATCTGGGGGCAAAGGCAAAGACATTACCCAACTCTGGTTACAATTTGTTCAATTTGCCAGTTTTTTCTTTCAAAGGCAAAAATATGTGACCATTGCTTCAGGCTGAGGATGTTTTTCATTATCTTATCATTGGCCACCTTGTTACTCTCAGAGTTGGCTTCTTGCCTCAGTAGGGTCAGCCCCCTAGGCCAGCTGGATTCCTAAAGCATTTGGAACCCAGGATGTATGCTCAGCAGAAGCCCAAGTGGAGTAGAAGGCCAGGGAAGAAGCTCCAGAGAGATGCATTCTCTCTTTCTGTAGGGCTCTGGTGCTCAGAGCAGTGAGCCTCACACCTGCAGTGCGGTCCTTTCACAGAGCCTGTGGCTGGGGACTTTCCTATGAGTGTCCGAAGACATACACAGACTGATGGGAAAATAGTAAGTGAAACTCCAAAATTCTCTCCACTAACCAACGTTTTCAGGAATTGAAGTTAAGGTGCTTCTTTTTCTAATGAGTGAGGACTTAGCCCTCCACCCTGCAAAGGGACATGTATTTTAGCTAGGTTCCCTCCCACTTCCATCCTCAGGATCCTTGCTGATGGAAAAGTGCTCAACCATTCAGTGTGAGCTGTCTCACCAGTGCAGCTCAGGAGGGAGGGTGGACAATCTACATATCTAGTGTTTCCTATGTAAGTGCTATGTGGCTTCTCCATTTGCACTCCCTTCTCAAAGGAATGATCTACAGAGCAAGCAGCCCCACCACTCTGGAACACAGGTGCACACCAGCTTTCTGCAGCTTCACACAGGCTACTGAGGGATGCTGGAAAGCTGCTGCTCATAAGTTACGAGAAAGCCTTCAAGTCGGTGATTGACCAGGATGGACGTGGCATGCATCCCTTCACTTCTTTGTTAAAAATGTAACGCCTCTCAAAGTCAGACACCAGAGTTCAACCACACTTCTCCATGGTCCTCAGAAAACACCTGTTTCCACCTTCTTTGTTCATCACCTCTTTAGAATACTCTGGCCCTCGTGTCTTTAAGGTCATAAGTTTGTATAACTTAAAGCATTCACTGTGTGTGCACGGAAGTGTACACAGATGAGGTCCCAGATGCACCATCTTTCCCCTTATGCACCCAAGGGGACAGTAAACTGGTTCTGAATCTCTTAAGAGCAGAAGATTGAACACATACATAGCTAACCAGAATGGAAGGCAGCCAGCACACTCCTCCACTTCAATTTGGTCTACTTACTCTTGCTTCTATACCTTTATAAAACTATTCTAAAAGCATTAAAAATCAATGTGCGTATATATTCTCTATAGAGTGTATATTATTATCATGTCAAATGGTTACTTGGCTTTATAACTTCCATGGCTTTCTAAGTACAAACATTTTAAATAACTAAGGCCCAAAATAAAACTCATTTCTACTACTCCTTTGCTATATGATTTCTGAATCAAATAGCTGTTTCTGAAAACCACAAATAATTCATAGAAAGAAATGCTTTTGCAGAACTAAGACCCTGCTTATCAGTTGCAGAGCTAGTCCACTCTATGTCAAGAACAAATTAAGAACTATGATATATTTGCAAAAATAGTTTGAGACTGTAGAGTCAATTAAAAAAAAAAGCAAACTCAAGTATAACTACCAACACACTACTGCAGCTTGGAGCTGAAGACTGAGTATCTCACCCACAATTCCAATTCTCTGAATCAGATACAAAGACAAGACGGCAGCACGTTCAAACAAAAGACACTGCACTCAACCACGCACTCAAACACACTCACTCGCTGCTTTAGATACACCAAACATGCTAGTTAATAAAAATGTAATCTCTAGTTATTTATTTACACTCTATAATATAAGCAATAAAGGTCAAACAACTAAGGCCAGTGGCTCTTCTTTGGGGAGAGGCAGCAAAAAGAGACCTAAGTATAAAAATATTAAATAAAGTTTTAACCTGGTCCTAATGTCCTTTTTACTTGTGACACTAGCTGCTAATCTGTGCAACTGCAAACCTGGAATACAGTACCCGATCTTGCGATGCCCTGATATACTTCAGCATTTGTGATATTCCTTTAAAGCAAAGAAGGTAGGGTACGGCACCAGGAAGTGATTTGATCTACTGTTAAATACACATAGGTACATAAATGATATGCTGAGGACTTACTTAGTTCTTCTGAAAGCTGTATTTTCTGGACTAATTACAACAATAAAGAACGTGTGCTCTAAAGCATCACATTTTGTAATAAGCCCCAAACTGTCAGTTAAACTTTATGTTTTAAGTGCTCTTAACACTAAAGTTGCTAAGACTGCACCAGCCGGCTTTTCCCCTCCTTTATTTTCTGTATTTCCTAAATTACAATGAGCTACCCCCTCGGTATTGCACACTGTATACTTTGACAGATTCACAAGGTTAGTTGAAAGTCATTTTTGCCCTGGTGATTCAAAGCTCGAAGATGAAATTTTCTACCATAAAATTTAATCAAAATATCATTTGAATTGAAATGTAATAAAAACAATACCACTATATGTACTCTCAGTTGTACTATACAATCAATCCTATGAGGTTTTTACTTGATTTTCATAACACACTGGTCATTAAAGACTAAAATAATTTCAATGTACATATACCATATACTGATACACCTACACACTGATGCATATACACATACAATCATAATGGCCACAAATACAATGGAAGGTGACAGAAAGCATTTTCTTTGAAATCTGACATACTATCTGCACAAATATTCTTCAAAAGCCTGCAATACAACAGATCACACATAAATTACAAAGGATGCACCAAGGTGACCTAAGGAAGCCTACTGTATATACAACAAACTTGCAATTATTTCCTTGCTGTTGCATTCAAGTCAAAAAACTATCATGCAAATTCAAGTATTTATTGACATTTTCTCTATGAAGACATATAATGGGTCAGTTATTGTCCTATGCAGAAGGCTGCCTGCTTGAATTCTGGATACTGTAGGTACAAGAAGAGGATGACTTTGGACTTCAAACCTCTTTTCAAGGGTGAGGAATGGAAAGGAACCCGACAGCAGAAACTGTAACAAAATACCTCTCTATCTCTCTCAACAATTTATACTGGGATTATTCTATGGTGATCTCCAAAGTCCTCTGGATGACTTGATGGCATAAGATGTCAAAAGAAGGGTGGAGATTGATCTGCTGACCTGGGGCCAACCACCAACCTGGCCTATGTGAATGAAAAGGAGCAAGGGAGGCCTACAGGCTCACCTTTCTTCCTATCTGAGTAACTTAGACCCGATGTTCTGAAACAAAAGCAGATCCTATTTACACCCAAAGTCGCACCGCCATTCTTGAATGAGCTTACTTTGAACCAGTGCGAGGATGCCACATTGGTTCTTGGGTTTACAGTGCTAGTTTTTAAACTAGGAAAAATCCTGTCATTTGAAAGTGAAGGAATTGTTCTTTGCTAAAATCAAGGAAGGTGGCTATTAACCTGCTAAAAACTTGACTGAATCCACAAAAGCTAACTACAGAGATTTCAACCTACAGATCTAAGACATTTACTGTAAACTGAGGCTGAAATAACTTTAAGCTATTAACTACCAGAAAACATGCCAAACATTTCAAATTCCAAGGACAACTAACTGAACACAGGAAGGTCTTGAGGGCAAGACAATGGAGAAACTGACTTGTAGAGGGTCAGTTTTCTTTCAGACTGTAAAAGGGCAGAGAAGAGGTGCATCTCAGGAAAAAAACAGGTCCTGCCTTTATCTCTGAACATCTTCCTGGTTCTTTACATGATAAGGGAGTATTAGGCAAAGGAGGGCCTGTGTAACTACGCTTAGGTAGCAAAGGCCTCGTTCCTTACCAGTTACGTAACGTCTCCCGTCTCCCCCAACTTCAGAAGTTCTGTGGTTTGGTCTTTGGGTGAAACACAACCTAGCTGAGCCTTGGAAAGCCAGCCAGATTTTCTTCCAGAATTAGTTCCCTCCTGTCACTTCTGCCTTAGAAATAGTTCTTATCTTCTGATCGGGTTGGAGCAGCAAAGAGAGCATTGCAAATAAGCACAGGCTACTGCATGAGAAAAATGCCTTCTATCCGCTTTACCTCAGAGCAATTAAAAAAGTTACATATAATCCAGGAGCTATTTCTATCAGAGGACTCCCCCACATGTTGGTTTTACTGAGATTAGTTAAAATGCACAAAAGTAATGCTGGGTTTAATTAGACTAAGAGTTAGGTAAATGATGTTTTTAAAGAGTACATTTCAGAAATGCTATGGTCTGGCAATAAAATAAGGACTCTTCATGCCAGTAACTAAATTCTGATTCCTCCCTGTAAACGCCAGCATGTAAGTTAGGGGTAAACCAAATATTATAGATTTCACGCTTGGGCTACTTTTGTGGTCAATTTTGCAGCAAGACTATCACCAAGGTCTTTTGTTGACTTATCAAGATTCTCTGCACTAAAAATTATTATTAAAGGTATTTATACAAAGAGGAATAATGTTTTACTACATGGACAGACACTCCAAGGCTCCCAGACCCTAAGGTAGGAGTGAGAAGTGGGAGTGGGAAGGGGGTTGGTGGTGTACCTTCTGGAGGAAAGGAGAGGGGAGAACTCCCTGTACCGTGAATTGGGCAACCGTCTTGGTGTAGTGAAAGCAATTGCCTTCCACATTTCTGATGCCAGAGGAAAGAAGTGGTCACAAAGGAAAAGGGTGGCTGGCTATGGACTAGACTTTCAGAATTCAGTCAGATCAGCGGCCATTTCCTCCCACAGGATACACTCTTGGCCTGCTACGCGCAGTGATAGCAGACGGCATGCTTCCAGAGGCTGCAGGGAAAAGGCGGTTTCAGCCTAGCCCCTGAAGACGGATAGCATTGCACTAGGGCAGTCTGAGATCCTGGCTCACAAAAGAACATTAAGGTTGTTTTCAAAGAAAAATGATGCAGACATGGCATTCTGCAGCTTCTACAGGGCCCTTGTCATCTGATTATCTAGGAGCACGTCCAGAAGTCCTAGAGCCAACATGGAGTGAGTCCTATAGTAGATGCTCACCAAGTATTTCAAGACTACTCCAAATGTCAGAAATACTGCAGCAAGGTACCATCCAATGCATGTTACATACTCTAAGGAAAATACACCCAAACATTTTATATACATACACACACAGTGGGCGAACACATTCACACAGTACCTGTTCTTTAGGCATTGATGCTCATAGATGACAGGGTTTCGGTACCTCTCTCCCCTTGACTAGTACAAATATGTAGGCAGAAAAATGAACACTGATAATTGAGCTTTTAGGAAGAAAGGGAATTTGCTTGTGGATTTAGTTAAGAAGTGACAAAAATGATTCAGGTAGAGAGACCACATTGGCAACTATCATGTTTGTTTCACGGTTCTTAAACAAAGATTTAGTCATTTCCAGTACCTAAACAAGAAACAAGGAGAAGTTTCTTAAAGGTGTGGTAAAATACCACAACTTTGAAGAGGGGCTACACTTCCTTGGGTACCAGCCAATTTGGACATATATATATAGGTAAAGGAAGTAAACGTTAATAAACAGTCCGTAACTATAGTAGGCTAACACATCCTAACAATATATCACTAGAAACTACCATGGTTTTCTAGCAGGTTTTTGCTAATTCACCTGAACCATGCTATTCATGCAGAGCAGCAGATTCTTTGGTCATAGTACCTTTAACAAATAAACTAAATAGAAGTAGAGAAAATTTCTATGGGAAGAAAACATATTCAAAGTGATCCCATTAGTTTTAAAGTTGTGCTGTTTGGGAAGATGACAGCCTTAGGGAATAGAGAGCTTCAAGGTTAGAAATCCAAACTTTATGTCACAGAGGGTTCAGCTTTCACTCCTTTCTCTTCCTATATAAAAGAGTATTTTGCTTATTACCCTGAATTACAAAGGGACTGCCACTGGAGCAAGCTTGTGACTATAAGGTAAATAGAACTATTTCGAGTACACAGAAAGAAATGATTTAAAAAAGACAAAGAATATTTAGGAGCAAGTTTAATAGTGATAGAGTGAAGTGGCTATCTAAGAGACTGAGATAAGAATAAACTAAAAAATTCTGCATATGCAACTGGCAAATTTGTCCCTTTTCCAACCACAATTCATCCAGTCTATTACTTTCAGATTTAGTTTACAGAATAAATATGCATTGCTGAAGAACTGCAGCTTGTTTCTGCCTTGTTTTGTCCTGACTTAAGGAAAGAACAAAAGGGATTCTACTTTCAACAATATTTTCTTACAACCAGGGGATGACCCCATTCCTCCATATGTGTGTGTAGAGTGAAAAACAACCTATTCCTGCATGGAAGGGTATCATGGGTAGAGATGATTCTGAGTTTCTAGTTTAGACCCTGTGGGAGTGAGGTAACATCTTTCCAAAGACCAAATGCACATCCACTGCTGCAGCTCCCCAAGTCAACTATTGCCACTGTCCTTTAGAAGACAACATTAACTTGATGTCACTCTATTTTTTTTCTTTCCCTTGCTTGGCTACAATGGAACCCACACTTCAAGCATGTTAACCTGCTTCCCTAAGTTCTCTAGTCCTGCCATCTCAAGCCCCCATTACCCTGCTTCCAGCGGGGTCAGAACTCAACACTGATGCATGGCTGCATCACACGGGACTCCGTGACTCCCAGCACTGGAATGCTTATGTGAGCAACCCTAGTACTCAACTTTACCTCTCCGGCTGGGCGGGAATTCACATATAAAGGCTTATATGAACTCTGGCTAGAATTTACTAAACCACAATGTCTGTCCAGTTAAGTGTTTCACAATGGAGTAAAGTTTTCAACTTAAAAAAAAGATAACACTTGACTGAAAACACATAAAACAACCAGCAGAGTGCAAATAAGAGAAAACCAAAGGAGAAGGGATACGTAATTCATTCTGAAATCACGATCCTCTGCCCCTCACAAGAAGGTGCATTAGTTAGCAAGTTGCAAAAAATCATCAAAGCAAAGAAACCAAGAGCAAAGACAATCTATACAGAAACTAACAAAAATATACAAATATAAAAAGTTACTAATGCACCATGTAGTCACAGACTTTTTTTTTTTAATGTATTCACGGATTACCAGAAAGATCTTGAAAAACCCTATTTTGCTCCATGACCAGCACTTCCTGGCCACAGACGGATTCTAAGTAACTTTTTGCTTAATGCTTGGTGTTTCAGGTCGGTGGTCCTTCCTTTCTGACACGTTACGCTTGACCTTGGCGGTGATCGGAGAAGAATCTGGGTTCAGTGAAGGACTTGAGTGAGACTTCTTCAGTCCTGCAGCCTCATTTTCCTCATTACTCAGGAGCTCCTTGCCTCCTTCTTTCAAAATGCTGACATAAATTTCATAACGGGTTTTCTGAAGGCAAAGTCAGAGAAGAATGCAGTCAGTACACTGTTTACAAATGTGTGTGAGGCACAACTAGTGTGTTAACTACCTAGAGAATGTAAATTGACAAATTCCTTGGGTACTTATGGGACACAAGAGAGGCAGTAACTATAGGAAAGTAACTGATTCATTTATTCAGGTAAGAAATCCAGCTAGAATTTTAGTTCATTTCTTCTGGATTCTGAAGGAATGCCAATCTGGAGTTCCTGGTCACTGGTTGGGAGAATCATGCATCCTGGGCACACAGGCCCAAGAATATCTAGGCTGGAGGAGCCTTCTGGTCATTTGAGCTTATCCCATATAACCTTAAGCCTTATTGGTCTTGGCCTGGATATAGCTGTTTACTCTATTTGCTATTCCTTGTAACTCTACAAAGACTTGACTAAAGGTAGCCTTCCAAGGAGAACCCCTCTCCAGTTCCCTGTAAGACCACACAACACTTTCTAGAAGCTGCTCTGGGTTTTGCTCCATTGCTTTTCTACTAGGATCACCCACTTCTTATTCTTAGACTACAATGAATAATAGCTACCAGGAAAATAATACGTTTGCAGAACTTCAACAAGACTTTTTTCCCCTATTCCTAACTGGCACTGTTTTTTTTGTTGTTTCTATCGAAGTCACTTTACAGAACTATTGTGTATACATATTGCAAATTATAGAAAAAGGTCTCTGATCCTTATTTGATACATTATAGTCAAAATAAGTCTTTTACCATAGCTGCCTCCATGCATGAAGAATTTGCAGAATGCCTACAGTATCTGATTTCTAAACAAAAGAACATGCCAGTTATAAATTGTCCAAACAAACATGGCAAATTCTGCTAAGACTGGTATCTTTTGGGGATTCTTCTAGTCAGATTAGGGCTTTGTATATTTCAGCTTTAAGTGAGTAACTGTGACGTGCTACCTTTGTAAGTTATTTCGCTCAACAGTGGAAAAGCTACTAGTCACTAAGAAGTTCACTCTAGGTCTGGTTGGTATCCCAAAAGGGTGCTAAACCCCATTATTGAATGCTCCCATGCTGAAATCCAGGTTATTCATACAATTCATATATGACTGGCAACAATATTATCCTTGTCTTATAGATAAGGAAACAAAGGCAGAGAAGTTCAAAGTCAGAATAAGCCAGAGATGAAACTTCATTTTCAATCCAGGCACTGTCTCCGAACCCATGCTCCTAAACTACATTCCTTTTCTGCCTAGGAAAACACAGATGAATGTATGTTCTAGGATGACCTCTGACAGATGCTGCTGGCTGGCCAATCAAAAGCCACCTTTAACTCCATATTCTACTATGCTCCTCCCACCATGAAGACTGATGCAATGCATAACAGTTGCTTTCCCAGCCCCTCTAGTATGGGCCATGTGAATGTGACCAAGGAGCTATAAGGAGAAATCGCTTAGACTTCTGGGTGAGAGTTTGCTTTCCGATAAAAGGGACACTCTGTCTAGCTACTTATTCTTAATCCTTCCTTGACATGGACATGATTCTTAAAGCTGCCACCCTGTGACATGGGGCAGGAGGCATGAAGACAAAGGGACAATATGCTAAGCCTGGGAGAAAGTCAAAAGTCAAAAAAACCCTGAGCTCTCCATGACACAATGAGCTGGGATCCAACCCTAAGACTTCCTACTATCTCTGGATTCTTAAATATGAATCATAAACATTGTTATACGTGAAGCTACTGTTTATCAACTACTGTCATATATGGCTGAAAGCATTACTAACTGAACATGTTCCAATCTTAATAAAGAAGTAACAAGGTATAATAAAGAATCACATGCTAAGCATTATCTCTGAAGGCCACATGAGAGCTTACTAAGGGCATTTATTAATAAAAAGTCATCTGCATCACACATCGGTATATGCTCATGACATCAGGAGACTGAGTTAGATGCCATCCAAAGGGCATAGTGGTGCTAAAGTCCTATTCATTCTAAGAATTTATTACTTAATCTGTCTCTAAATTGCCTTGGCGGCAAGATTAAAATGTAAGAAAGAATTATTCCCAGTAAGAACAAGATTTAGTAAAATGATCTATAGGCAGTTTAAAAATAGATTCAGGGAGCCAGTGTAAGGCATGCTATTTAATAAAGCTGGAGCATGTACACAATGAGAGAAGTATGGAGGACAGTGTTTTCAGATGACTTGAAAGGAGACAAAAGGAGAAAAGGTGACGGGATCAGTTTCCTACAAATCTGAAGAAAGTGATACTACTGAGAAAATTCACTTGAGAAATAAATGAAGGAAAACCATTTCATCCACAAACCCTACATCTTCAACTAAAAAGGTGTTGTCTCAAATAAACTACATCAGTTTGCCAAAAAACACAGCACAGAGGCATACATGAGTCATCAGATCGGAAGAAAAAACAAAAGCAGAGAAAAGGTTCAAAGAGGCCAGAAAACAAGGCCTGCTCTACTGTTGTTAAGGGAAATAAAGAAAAAGAAACCTATGTGGGTTTATGAGTTTCCAAGTGGCTGTGTCCCATTTCTGATTTTTCAAAAGGCTTATAGGGACAGAGGCCACAAACCCTAGTAATACAACATTTTTTTTTAAATCATTCTGAAACTAATTTTTACTGAAATCAAACCAAACATGCCTCTTCAAAATATTTTAGGGAAACATAACTTTAATCTTAGAACTGGTCAGCTGAAACTAATGCTTCAGCCATGTTCTTCCAAGATTGTAGACTCATCCAAATAGGTAAGCCGTTCTCCAGAGGCTCTGGGGCCAAACTAACAAGTACCTTTGAGTAAAGAAAGACAACTCTGCATAAGGCCATGAGGATTTCTTAAATGGCCTTTTTCTTTTCTCCTTCTATTCTTTTTAGGGGAGTAGGAAGGCTACACTTCTAACTATGCAATCCAATCTTGGGGTGTGGGGGGTTATTTTCTTTCTTCGGTTCAGAGAAGTCATGATTGTCATGTTTTTTCCTAAGACCAAGTGTGAAATTCAAATTTTAAGTTAAAGCTCATACAGAAGGAAAAGCAAAGCAGCTGTAGGTGTATCTGTAAGTCACTTCACAAATGTTTTTCAATTGACCAGTAGTAACCGAACATGTTTAGCACTTCAGTATGCATACACATGGCAATGATTTGATCACGGTAACTAGTATGTAACTACCACCGTACACATTTATTTTCAAATATCCAATTCTCTACTGTCAACCACAGTTATCCTATGCATTGTGCTATAGAGTGTTAGAAGTAATTCCTCCATCCATCTGCACCCCTCTACCTTCTACCCATCCTCTCTAGTCCCTTCCCTTCAAGTCCTTCCCAGGCTGTGGTAACTACTTTGCTCTTTGCTTCCATGAGCTCAATATTTTAGCACCCACAGATAAGTGAGAACACATACTATTTGTCTATGCCCAATTTCACTTAACATAATGTCCTCCAGTTATATCCCTGTTGCTACAAATGCCAGAAATTCTTTTTTTAAACAGTTGAATGAGATTCCACTACGTATACATACTGCATTTTCTCCATCCATCCATCCATCCATCCATTGATTTCATATCTGGCCTACTATGAAGAGTGCTGTAATAAACATGTGAGTGCAGATGTCTCTGACATACTGATTTCAGTTCCTTTGGCAATATACCCAGAAGTGGGATTGGTGGATCATATGGTAGTTCTATTTCTAGTTTTTTTTTGAGGAACCTCCAGAGTTTGTCACAATGACTCTACCTAATTTACTAAATCTAGAATTAAGGGACTGTATGAGAGTTCCACTTTCTCTACATCTTTGCCAGCATTTTTACGTATTTGTCTTTTTGGTAAGAGCCATTGTAACGGGCGAAACGCTTCATTGTTTTATTTGCATTTCTCTGATGATCAGTGCTGCTGAACATTTTTTCCATGCTTGTTGGCCATTTGCGTATTCTCTTTTGGTAAATGGCTTACTTAGGGCACTTGTCTATTTTTCTTCTTTTTCTCTCCCTCTTTCCATTTCCTACCCCTATCTCTAAGCCAGCCTCTACTACTCATTTTTTAATTGGATTTTTCTTTTTTTCTTCTTGATGTTGAGTTGTTTGAGTTCCTTATGCATTCTTGGTTATTAACCCCTCGTCTCAGTCTTTAAACTGTCTATTCCTTCTGTTGCTTGTTTTCTTTGCTGTATGGAACTTGCTGATGCAATCCCATTTGCTAATTTTCCCTGTTGTTGCCTGTGCTTTTGGGGTCATATCCAAAAAAATCCTTATAGACCAATGTTCTATAGTGTTTTCTCTACATTTTCTGTAAATCACATTTTAAAGGTCTAATGTACCAGAGACTAAAACATTTGATGATTAGTTTTTAAGTAGTCAAAGTTGACCAAATAATCTCATAAATGACATTAGGAGAGACACTGTTTGCTGCTTCCCTTCCTTCATGCTAATCAAACTGCATTTTTTTAAAAAATTAAGGCTGTCATTATGCCCAGCCCCATGAGAGGACATATGCTTTAAACCAGACATGCCAACCTTTGTCACTCTTCCTTACAGTCATGTAGGCTAGCTTTGGCCACTGACATTTAAGTAGAACACTTTTGTGATAGCAGCTATGCTATCCTGATAAAAAAAAAAGGTAAAAAAGTGTCTGGAGATATATTAGCCATTTTGAAACCATAAAATAAACATGAAAATTTAAAAGCCAATGTGCTCATGAAAGCAGATGACAAATTTAGAAAGACTGTATGTCCTCATCAGCAACACTTCATATAGCCCATAACCACCCACCTGCATTTTTCCTAAGTGAGATGCAAGAATGGTTATACTGTTGAAACATTTGGTCAAGTTTTCTACAATTTGTAGCTGAAAGCATTCTTAACTAATAAAATCTTCAACACAGTTTGTTCTCAATCATAAAGAAACATTCCAACTGAGGTGAATATACAACTCCTATATTAATTTTATTTAGGAAAAACTTAGCTAATTAGTAAGTTTTGTGGTACCATCTCTTTGTTAGTGTTTTTCTCTGAATTGT